GGGATTATTTGAGGTGAGATCGGTTTGGATTGCGCACATGTCGCCGCCAGCATATCTCAATTCATATCAGTTTTTCATTGAATGTCCTTTATTTAAATCAGCTAGAAACGAATTGATGCATTCACTAATGTTAACTGTGAAAGATACTTGTGATTTAAATATTGACCTGATGCTAGTTGGAAATGCAATTTTACCTAATCATGTGAACGAAAGCGTTTTTAGGGATGTACACACATATATAAAGAAAACAAAAAGGTTTGAGTGAGCAATGTGAATGTACATACGTTTCTTTATCTCTTTTCTTTCCTTTCTGTCATTTGATTTATTAGCTGTAAATAAGCATACATGTAAATCTATGGGAGAGGGCGTTCTAAGTTGTGATAACTTGTGCCCAATCCTTTTCATGAGAAAGAAATGTGTTTAAACTAAACTAAAACAAATAACAAAATAACGCGAAATTGGCGTTAAATAGGTGACACAGGTGAAAACGAAGAGCAGGCACGTCCAGGTTTTATGGAAAATGGTGTCATGCTGATCATATTCCGAGTAAAACCCTTTTGGGATGTATCCATGCAGGTGGATGGATTACATATCATGTGCACGTACCTTGCGAATTTGTTCACAACCAAACGAATTCCACTCAGATCCTGGTTTGTTTGTCATGTACAAGTGCCTTGAAGACCACTCTGACACATTTGTTATTGTGCAAACCATTTCAATACCTGTATTTAAAACTTCATTTATCTAAAATACCTGTTGTTATCAGCGTGTATTGCAATCTATGTGTTCTTATCAGAGGTGCATCCTTATCAGGTTAATTTTGTATAAATCGGTATCACCCGTCATGATATTACTGGAATATTTAAGCGGCGTAAAACCATACTACTCACTCACGCTGCAGTAGGACAGTGTGTTTTTGTTGTTCAACGCCCCACTCAGTACTAATACAGTTGTGTGACTACGGTCTGTACATTCAGTTGTTCATTTGTATGCAAGATCAACGCTCTTGGAGTACGATAACACGCTATCTACCAGATCCGGGGTAGAATAGGTCTTCAGCAACCCGTGTTTGCCGTAAAAGGTGACTATGCTTGTCGTAAAAGGCGACTAACGGGATCGGGTGGTCAGGCTCGCTGACTTGTTTGATGCATGTCATCGATCCCAATTGCGTGGATCGATGTTCATGATGTAAATCACTTGATTGTCTGGTCCAGACTCGATTATTGACAGCCCGCCGTCATATGGCTGGAATATTGCTGAGTGCGGCGTTAAACAACAAACCAAACCAAACCAAACCAAACCAAGGCACCTAACCTGGCCACTCGATCCATTTAGTCGCCTAAATACGTATTTCGACCAGCGTAGGTTGCTGAGGACCAACTGTAACTCTGAATCCCCATGGGGACAACTCAGACTTCTGTAAAATGCTGACAGACAAGAGTATGATTGACGTGACTATATCCTCCATCTCTTTCTACACGAGCCAGATCTCCTCCAATTGTATTACCAATCGCATTGATGAAAAGTGACAACTTTAATTTCTTTAACTTTTTCGACAAGTTAAAAGAGGCCGTGTGCAGTTAGGGGTTTCTATAATGTACCACCAGTTACGTTTTTTGCTGTTTTGATATCTCTAATGTCGAAGTGTGTATTCATTCAAGGATATTGGATTAACAGATTTACGATTGAAGTGTAGTTTTATTTACATATTAAATCAGTTCATATCACTTAGCAGGGACTCCGACAGGCAAACCATTTAGACATCAAATCTGATATTGCCACACGCTTGTAATGGCATGTAACTCTAGGCGAATTCCACGAATGTGTCCCCATGCTAAATTGCCCCATTACTTGTTGAAGCATGTATCGCCACAGCGCAGCAAATTCAATTAAATTTCAAATATTTCTATCAAAAGGTATCATCTCTCGGCAAAGCTTTCTCTCTCCCAGCATTATATGACGGCCGTAATGTGCAAATGCCCTAACAGAAGTATTCTCCAGCCACATGAATATCTTCAAAGATCCATGCTAAACTGAACAAGCTTACAAGCCTTCAGGGAACAACTCTGGGTGTAGAATTGGGTCCTTCTCTCGCCATGTAATAAGGGAGTAAAGGTTCCAGGGTGTTTTTCCAGCTCATCATCGCTCGTCCTTATAAAGTCTATGGTGCTTTCTTCCATTGATGAGTCTCGTGCATTGGCTTTATCTTTAATCATTGAATATGCTTCAGCCGAGCCAATATAAGATGATTAATGGCAAGAGTAAGGATTACTCTTAAATTTCTGTGTCCCTCGGGGGATTGAAATATTAGTCTCTGACCCATGCCAGCCGGTGCAGGTTTTTAAAAATATTCGCATTTTATGGTTTAAGTACACTTGATTTCACCTCTCGTGCGAGATCTGACACAAAAAGGAATTGCAGTTCACGTTTACTCTTTGTTGTTGATACTTCAAGGTAAAGAGTTTTGTCAGAAGTATAAAGTTCACTTCGTGAAACATTTTCAGACGTGACTAACAAACAAATATAAAAACAAGGTTTACTGAATGGAACGATGACACGCGTTTTTAATTGTCTTGCAGGATTTGATGCCATAATGATTACTAAATTTAAAGCTTAAGTTCATCGCCCAGTTTCATATTCAAAAATGGCCAAGACGACCAAGGCTTCACAGTTCCCTGAACAGAATTGTCCCTTACTCGTCCAAGAAACTTGTGATCGTAGGTTAGAATCCAGGTTCACCATGAATATGTTGCCTTGTATGCCAACACCATACCCGTGCTCGTGGGCTTCGCCAAAGTGATAAACGTCCGATTGACAATAATCCAGCAGTATCACGGCGGGAACACCCGAAATGGGCTTCACATTTTGAACTCAAGTAAGCCTCTAGGATCTGGATCACTCAGGCCCCACCTCTCCCCACCACCCCCCCACCCCCCCCCCCCCCCCACCCACACACACATAAAGCTGACACGCCGTAACTTCGACACCAATAACACAACTTATGCTTTCAATCCGGGATGTCTCGTGTCTTAAAAAAATCAATCCATTTATTTTAATATTCTTTTTGTGTATAAATCATATGTTTTATACCATTGCGTGTCAGCCTTGTGTGAGAGAAAATAATTATGTCGTGCAGGTTGTGGATTTCATTTTAAGGAAGCAAGCGCGGTTAGATGCTGACTAACAGATGGTCATTATCAAGAAGAATCGAGGATTCGAACGAGTTACTCACGGATCATGATCAAGGGACGCAAACCGAATTCCGTCGCTTTACAATAATAAAAGCGACACAACCCTTTCCATATTCATAGCTCCATTGTAACCACTGAGTTACATGTGTCCATTGAAGATTCCTAAGGTGGCACATAGTCTTATTGTCATTATTTGTAAGAATATAGATGGGTGCAAATCATCTCCTTACGTCAAAACTTTCGATAAAAATGATCATCAATATTATTTCAGCATTTTTACATTCGTTATCATCTTTAAGAAAGGGTCCTCGTGTTTTGGCTTGTGAAAGAAATCGACAAATATTCGCACATTTCGCAAAAACACCCAATGTGCGGCGACGTTCCATTAACGTCAAAATGAGCTACGTCTTCGCGCAACCAGGTTACAGTATATTGGTGGATAAGTGATATTGATAGAATCCTGTTGTGCATTTTACATTCATTTCAGTTGTCGGTAATAAGCTATGAGTTGGGATTTAATTTAATTGTTGTTTGCTCTGAAACTAAGTATCATGGACGATTTGACGTTTAAGGTTTTATTTTTGTCGGTTGTAGCATTTCACAACTGAGACACATTGACTTCAGATTGGTCGTTAGAGAACACTGACGCATTGTCTGAGATGAGTGAGAAGTCTTTCCAGGAGATATCCTTCTTTTAGTAATTATTCTGAAAGGGAGGTGACAATTCACTTGTGTCCCGTGGTTCTGGGTTCTAATGTCAGATTCCTTTGAATTGTCAGCACCAAACCCTTGTTCTCTTGGGTTGGTTATTGTCAAAATAATACAAGCGACAAAACCTTTTCCATATTCACAAGAAATCTCTGCTAAAAGAGTCTAAAATCTGCATCAATATCCTGCCATTTGAAATTGACACGCTGTAATAATATAACTGAAATACGGTTCAAATCGGTTTGAAGGCAAACTCGCTCATTCACTTTTGATATTTTTCCGCGCTATCACTGCGACCAAATTTAGGTTTGTAGTTACCAACATGTTTATCAGTGACACACATGTTGTCTGGTGCGTTTCCATATTTTCATTTGCACCATATGTTCCCTCAAATTTAGTTGAAAATTTGACTTGCCTTTGCATGTGTTTGTGACTGGTGCCACCGGTGGGACTGGATACGCTCACCTTTTCGCAAACACCCGGGATCATCACAATTATGATAGTAATCTATAAGCACATGCTTACGATATAGGACAATGTTTTAGCAGCTATGTCTTATGATTAAGGAAATTCAGAGCTCCAGATAACCTTTTGAGCAATTGAGTTTGTACTCTAGGGTTTCCATTTTAATTGGGTTATTACATTTTTTCATTGGGTAACCAATATTTTTTCACTCATTTGGTCATCACTCTATTGGGTTTAAGATTTACCAAAAATAAAAAATAATGTTTTAGATGTATATAAGTGTTCTAAATATATAGGCTTGACTTGGAAAGTAAATTAACTCGTAATTGTGTATCGGAAATTGGCTCCTTTGTACGCATTGGGTATTAACGCGAGCTGTGTTTATACATTTAAGTTTTTCATTACCGCATACGTTTCTGTACGCAAGGTAATTGAAAGTAATTAAGGTTTGAATATTTTTTTATTTTATTTTATTTTATTTTTTTATTATTTATTTATTTATTTTTTGGGCGGGGGGGGGGGGGGGGGGGGGGGATTTATGCAAATGCGCTGCTTATCTGTAGCTCTGTGGTTTTGTCGCATTTCTGTATGCAATACTATAACATCCTTATCTTACACGTGATTCATTTGTTGCAGACGGCGTCCGGTATGGCACACAACGTGTCCATTTCCATGGATATCTTGTCCGAAGCTGTCAACCACACGCAGCCCCATGATAAGTCGAAAGTGTATGCAGTTGTTGGTATACTGTCTGTGTTCGCCATTACTGGAACCATCGGTAACGCCCTTGCATTCTATGTGTTCTATAACCTGAAAAACAAACTGACATCCACGATTTTCATCTTGGCATTAGCCGGAGTAGATTTCATCACTTGTCTGGTAACAATACCATACACAATTGCCGTAGAATATCTTGATTTTTATGTGAAATATGATGCTGCTTGTAAGTTTTACCACTTTCTCATTACGACAACAATCCCATTTTCGGCATTCATCATGGTTGCCATTGCCGTTGATCGATATCTCTGTATTTGCCACCCCTTCCTACATCTCATGACCATCAAACGAGCCCGAATTATTGTCGGCTGTTTGTCTGCATTCGCACTGGCGTTAGGAGCTACAGCTTGTGTCCACTACAGTGTGTTCAAAATCCAAGACCTCGATCAGCATGTGAACAGCACCTTAAGTCCGGTCAGTGTGGAGTTTACAGCCCGTTCTGGTAGCAACGTAACAGGACCTGAGTACGGCCTCTTGCAACCAACAGATTCGTCCAAGGGAAATTATTCTTTCAGTCGTGGCCTTGAAGACAAAGATCGTAACTTTACTGATTTCCCTGAACCATATGAAATGAAGCCGCTTGAAGTCTATACCGGCCAATGTGGAACCAGAAACACTACTATTGACCCTTTATTTTTTATGGTTTACCAAAGGCTGTACTCAAGCTTCTTCTTGGTGTGTTGTGTAGTAGTGTTCATACTGTATAGCCTCATTTACAAATCTGTCATTTCTCAGAGACAGAAGCGACTGAGGATTAAGACTCAGAAATGCTGTCTAATGTGGGATGCTGCCAATGTAGACAATGAACAGTCTGAAGTGACGGTCGCCTTAGAGCTGAACCACTCTACGACAAACGGAGAAAGTCTCAAGACGCGGCCTGATGAAAGCCTAGTTCCAGACAATGCCCAAAACAGCAACCAGGCAAACTCGTCCAGAGCGCGCCTGGAACGTATGAGAATGGCCAACATCAAAACAGCTATGATGCTGTTCGTCGTAACACTCGTCTTCATCGTTGCGTTTTCTCCTGCATGGCTGATGGTACATCACCTTATCACGATGAACGTTGTGTTTTTCTATATGTATTTCATATACAATGTCGTTAACCCAATCATATACGCTTTTATGAACAATGCTTTTAGGGTTGAGCTTAGAAAGATATTTCACTGCGAAGGACAATAGAAACGTGGATCGTTTATCACTACAATTTATGTTGTTAAGAGTATCGATAGTTCCCATTGTAAACATATTTTGTTATTATATCTGTATTGCTTCAAATAAAACGTGTTACATATAATGGTTCTCGTCAATTGTGATTTATGTACGTGTATAAATAATAACAATTATAATAAGTTTATTTTTAATCCAAGAGAATGCTCATGTCGCTATGTTATTGTTTACCCCAGTCAATGCATCGGTATGGACTTCTTTCAGTGGCATTTAGAAGTTGGTGTGATGAAGTAAGACGAGTTCTATGGATGAACAACTTCTTTATTACAATTAGTGCGACGTTTCGGTGTAGATCCTAACACCTTTATCAAGCTGAACACTAATCTCTATCTAATCCACTGGCTTCCATCATCTCTATCAGTCTGCTTGTTGACTCTGTGTTCATTAGTCATCCACTGGCTTCCAATTATCTCAATCAGCACTCTGTGTCCACCAATCAATTTACTGTATAAACTTTGATGTTAATAAGTACATATACCTATGTTGTTTAGCACTATTCTATAAGGCCCTAGGCGTATTCCTAATCAAAACAGGCCTAATTAAGCGCATCTAAAAACTAACTAATGTACCAATCCTAAATTCAATAAACATACAAACACCCACCTCACCCGGCTCCCTTAGTTCCCTCCTCCACCCACCTCGGCATTGATTCCAAATTTTAAAATTTAAAAAAATCGATATAAGCAACCCCTAAAAGCCCCCGCTTGGGTTGCACACACCACTTTCACCCTTCTCGGAATACACTAAATGGTCTGGCCAGGCCCGTGTGCGAAATACGCTGCAGTCGGAAAGCGCACGTTAAATCTTCTATATCAGTCAGTCAGCACTATTCATCACTTGCTTGATAAAGGTGTTAGAATCTACACCGAAACGTCGCACTAATTGCAATAAAGAAGTTGTCATCCATGGAACTCGTCTTACTTCATCGGTATGGAATTTGATACGTCTCAGGCAGTTTGTGCTGGAAGGTTATCAGTCACATAAACATCTCACTCTACCGGGTATCATTCACTGCTGAGCGAACAGAGGCATATTACAACCTGAGTAATGTGTCCAATGAGAACCCACATAGCTACATTTATCATATAATGGGTAGGTTTCTCGGCAGGATAAAGCCAACGGATAAAAACGATATCCGTTGGGGTCATATGCGGATAGAGATGCAAATATCAAAGGTCACGTAGGGACTACTTTCACTGTTTATAAACAAACACGGCGTCGCACTCGTAATTCGGCGATCGAGTCAGAATTAACCATCGGGAATCTGGATAAACTACAGGGATAATTGCTATCATTATCAAAAGAACAGTCTAATATACTGAAAATATGTGTCTAACTGAGACGTAGCTAAGGCATTTTATAAGTTTTGGCAACTTTGGAGATATACATTTCGAAACAATTTGGCGAGGGCACGAGACCTAGCCAAGCGGGATCAGTAGCCATATCTGTGCTTGTAGACCTCTGCGGCTTGAAACCTCCTCCACAAATTAAAATAGTTGGATTTGGCGGAAGTATGTTTGAATTGTTACCTTGTTTCGTTTTGTCGCTGTGTGTACATCTGACAACACTTCTTATCGTTATGACAGGACAGACCGACTGTCAACAACATCTGACCGTGGCCGTGACGTCTCATAGACTAGGGTTAGAGTAGTTTCCCTTTGACAAAGGGCAGTTACTCTAGCGGACAGACCGATGGATTGCCGCGAAAGGCAATTAAAAACAATTGTTGTTTTTGCGTATATGTTGCTTGGCCACTGTATAAGAAACATATTTCAGTTGGAACTATATTGGCTACTGTCACTGTCCGACTGACACATCACTTACCCTGTGACGTAATAAATATTAATGCGCGCATTCCAGGAAAACTCGCAATGTTTCGGTAATGTTTGTGAGTGAGGGAAAGCGATTTTGAAGCACAGAATTAAAGAATGACATTATATGATAAAGAGGTTATCACGCTTGTGTGTTTGGGGATGGTAAATATCCTGTATTAGGAATAAACACTATGTATTTAGCTCGCCAAGGCTCGCTAAATACAATGTTTATTCCTAATGCAGGATATTTACCATCCCCAAACACACTCGCGTGATAACCTCTATATACACCACACCGAACCCTTAGAAACTCTCAGGCGTCAAGCTGCCGAGAATGGTAACCCTTCACTTGATTTGTGTCAACGTCTATCATAAATCTATCCTTATGTTCTTATATCTTCATTTTATCATTTTGGTTTTACGGTAGTTCTGAATAAAACGGAGTGTATTTCACATAACATTGTTCCTGCAGACCTTCCTGATTACTAGAATATCCAAGCGGGAGTTTTGTTTTGGGCCGCTTTGAACAGTGCCAGCTTGATGTGGGAGGGAAGCTCGAAGAGATGCAGGTATTAGACGTTTAGCACTTTGGTGAAACCCACAAGAATGGCAATGGTGTGGACACACCGAGAAATATAAGGTGAGGTGAAATGGGGTTTAACGTCGCGTCCAAGGTTATTGCACTTATATAGCGACGTGCATGTACGTGTGTGTGTTTGTGTGGCTGCTTGTACTAGGCCGGACTGATGCCGATTTATAGTGCTAGCTCACTGAGATACCATGCCGCAGTTTAACATGAATATCCCACTCAGACACAGTATACTGACTCCGAGCCGACCAGTCCTTGTTTTAGCCACTTAATGCCGAGCGCCAGACAGGGTAACAACAAGTACCATCTTTTAACGTCTTTTGGTATGACTCGGGCGGGGATCGAACCACGGACCTTCCGCTCTCCGGGCGGAGGCTCTACCACTAGACCACGGAGGCGGTCCCGAGAAAAATAATCATGATTAACCAGGATTCGAACCTCGCGGTCAAAGGCTTCTTCAACACAATATCCGTGACAAAAAGTAAACAGCTGCATAGTATTGCTGAGAAATTAAATGGTAATAGAGACTATGAAACTGTAGAAAATCACCAATATCTAAGATGTTCCCGTGTTGAACACTTTCTATGTCTTACACACTGATATGGACGATAACTGCTACATTAAACTAATTGAATATGGACGATGAACGGACGATCGCAAATAAAGCGACGTTCAACCAAACTCAATGACTGCATGCTTGAGAGGGCACATCATCCCCTTGCAGTGAATGGATCCAGGTTTAGTCTGCTGCAGCTCTGAATATAACGTACGAAGCGCTCGCATTGCACGGCGCAAGATATGTGTTTTATGTTCTGAATCGTAAGGTTAGAGAGTGAGTATTGTTTTACACCACTTTTAGAAACATTAATTTTCCAGCAATATCACCGCGGAAGATACCGGAAATTGGTTGCTTTGTCAACGCTACCTAACAAACGTGGACTTCAATGTAGTTCATGTGGTAAACGATAAGTGGCACCATCGTACAGCTGTAGTCAACGCTACAAAATGACACTCACGAAAGAGCTACCATTTGTAGCGAGGGGGTGCGTTTCTACTTCTGTTTAAGCGATGTGCTAGCGGTTACGGCGTTTGACACACTGAAGCCAAGGAAATCAGTAGTATCAGCATTAGTTGAGTGAGTGAGTGAGTATGGTTTTACGCCGCTTTTAGCAATATTCAAGCAATATCACGGCGGGGGACACCAGAAATGGGCTTCACACATTGTACCCATGTCGGGAATCGAACCCGGGTCTTCAGCGTGAGGAGCGAACGCTTTAACCACTAGGCTACCCGACCGCCCCAGCATTAGTTGAAGTAGGCGTAGTAGTAGTAGTAGTAGTAGCAGTAGTAGTAGTAGTAGTGGTAGTAGTAGGCGTAGTAGTAGTAGCAGTAGCAGTAGTAGTAGTAGTAGTAGTAGTTGTAGTAGTAGTATTTTAACGCCGCTTTGAACAGTATTCCAGTTATATCACGGCGTGTCAGCTTGATGTGGGAGGAAAGCCCGGAGTGGTGCAGGTCTTAGGTTTTACTACTTTGGTGAAACCCACAAACACGGATAATTAAGGTGCTGACAAACCTAGAAACATACTCGGGGCGAAGTGGGTTTCGAATCCAGGAACATAGGTTCCCGGCGTGCCTAGGGAAATCAACTCTGCACAGCAAATGTCGGCGCCGTGCCCCAAGTAGTAGTAGTAGTAGTAGTAGTAATAGTTGTAGTAGTAATAGTAGTAGTAAAAGTAGTAGTAATAGTAGTAGTAGTAATAGTAATAATAGTAGTAGTAGTAATAGTAGTAGTAGTAGTAGTAGTAGTAGTAATAGTAGTAGTAGTAATAGTACAAGTAGTAGTAGTAGTAGTAGTAGTAACAGTAGTAGTAGTATTAGTAGTAGTAATAGTAATAGTAGTAGTAGTATTAGTAGTAGTAATAGTAGTAGTAGTAGTAGAAATAGTAGTAGGTGGAGGAGGAGGAGGGGCAAGAATGGTAGTAGTAGTGGTAGTATCGGTAGTAGTAGTAGTAGTAGTAGTAGTAGTAGTTGTAGTAGTTGTAGTAGTTGTAGTAGTAATTGTATTTGGCTTATTTGCACCGCTTCGACTCAAATCTTCGCCAAAATCATTCAACACTTACTCAAAGTAGATGGTGGCAAAAACGCTTCAAATCTCCCGAAAGGGTATACTCGCAATATCAAACACAAAATAATATATAAAGGTCATCTACAAACAAGGATAACGAACAAAACGATGAATATATTGTGTTAACTAATCGTGATGGCTACCTCTTAGCATTTCAATCTTGAATACAACTGGGTTTGTTTTGTTTGTTTGTTGTTTTACGCCGTACTCAGCTTATATTCCAGCTAGTTGACGGTGGTCTGTAAATAATCGAGTCTGGGCCAGACATTCCAGTGATTGATGAATACAGCTGGAATTGCATGAATCATTTACCCCAGGCCACAACGTACCCAGGCTCTCGGGATTCATCGAAGTTGTAAACGTCTAACACCTGCACCACTTCGGGCTTTCCTCCCATATTAAGCTGACACGCCGTGACATAACTGATCTTGGCCCCGTTCCTTAAAGCGAACTGAGCGTTAAGTCGATAGTAACTCTCATTCTTCTACACTGACTTACGACAGTTGTAACGCGAAAATCGCTATGTGGAACGG